ACACCACCCCCTCCTAAGGGGCCCGGCGGCCCAGCAGCCGCGACACGGTGCGGCTCAACGGCGACATCGTCACGGCGCCCGCCTTTGGCCGCCTGCTGGACTTCATGTACGAGGGCCGCCTGGACCTGCGCAGCCTGCCGGTGGAGGACGTGCTGGCCGCTGCCAGCTACCTGCACATGTATGACATCGTCAAGGTCTGCAGGGGCCGGCTGGGCGCGAAGGACCGAGAGCTGGGCCAGGAGACCTCCGCCCCAGGGGCAGAGCCGCTCCAGCCGCCGCGGCCCCTGCCAGCCTGGACCCCTGAGCTTTGCGGCGCTGCCCGGAGGGCCGGTCACCCCGGGGTTGGAGTCAAGGCTACCCTCCCTCTGCAAGCATCTGGGCCTCCTCCCAGGCGGGCACCAGGAGAGTCAGACCTGGCCCTGGACCTGTCGCTGAAGTCTGGCCCCAGGCCGGAGCCGCTTCATCCCCCCTGCATCCTCCAGACACCCCCCTGCAGCCACAGGCAGCCTCGCGCCCCTGCTCCAGTGAAAGACCAGTTGGACTCCCTGACCCAGCAGGAGAGCCAGAGCCCCTGGAGCCCCCCAAGCCTTGGGCAGCCACCCCGTGTTCCCTCGCCTAAGGGCCTCCAGGAGCCGGTACTGGATGCTGAGCCGGTGGCCAGCGAGGAGGGGCGAGAGCCCCAGGGGCACCTGTGCACCTGTCCGCTGTGCTGCAAGCTGTTCCCCAGCGCCCCCGTGCTGCAGCTGCACCTCAGTGCCCACTTTCGCCAGCGGGATGGCGCCCGGGCAGGGCTCTCAGCAGACGGCGCGGTGCCCACGTGCCCGCTCTGCAGGAAGACCTTCTCCTGCACGTACACACTGAAGAGGCACGAGCGGACGCACTCGGGGGAGAAGCCCTACACATGTGTGCAGTGCGGCAAGAGCTTCCAGTACTCGCACAACCTGAGCCGTCACGCCGTGGTGCACACGAGGGACAAGCCGCATGCCTGCCGCTGGTGTGAGCGTCGCTTCACGCAGTCAGGGGACCTGTACCGCCACGTCCGCAAGTTCCACTGCAGCTTGGTCACGGCACTGCTGGTGTGACACCAACTGGGGGCCTGGGCTGGGAGGGAGGGCAGGGCGCACCCAGGTGGGACTTGGCCTGGAGCGGAAGGAAAGCCGGGAGCTCATTGGTGACTGCCCCTCCTCCATCCTCCTGCTCTCCCCACTCTCAGCTCCTGCCCCTAGGCTGTGGCCTGCCCAGGCATGGTCTTCCTCTCACCGTGCTCTCCAGCTGGGTGCCGTGCAGCAGCCTGGGGCCGGACCCCAGCCCCAGAACCCCCGACCCTTCTCCGGCTCACGTGTCAGCAGAGCTGCTGTTGAGTCGCCAGTGGGACTCGGAGGGTGGCAGCAGGAACCCCTGCTGGGAAGGCCCGGGGCACAGCAAGTGCCAGCGGGCTGTCTGTGCACAGCTGGTGGCACGTGGGGGGCGCAGCGCAGCAGGAGCAGAGGCGCAGCTCTGGAGTGATCACCATGGGGTGGGCTGAGGGTCCCCGAGGGCAGCATCCTGACTGCATTGTAACTGGGCAGAGAAGGTGAAATGGGAAACGGCTTCCCTTTAAACCGAGATGGGACTCGCCAGCTCGCCCGCTCGCCAGCTGTTGCTAGTGAGGCACAGGCCAGGGGTTCTGTGCCTGGGCACCAGGTCCGGGATGCTCTGAGCATCCCCAGGGTGAAGCCAAGGAGGGCTGAGAACTGCAGCCCAGCCCGGCCCAGCCCACCACGGGCCATAGTACCTGCCCTGCTGGCCTCTGGGGTCTCCCTGGACTGCAGTCCTTCACAGAGCCTCGGGTGGGGGCCACAGTCCCTCATTAACTACTGGTGCTGCACTGCTACCTAGCAGGCCTGTGGGTGCGGGCCCTGGGGAGGGCTCCGGTGAGGGGCCGATGCCCCCTGGGGTTGGTGGGCTCTTCACCCTGCCGGACCACCTCACCGGGCAGATCTTGCTGCTGAGACTTGGTACCGTTTTAGCCAGGGGCTGGGGTAGCCCAGGTGTCAGGGTCAGCAGGGGGCAGGCGGCCTGAGTGCCTGGTTTCCCCAGGAACCTGGCAGCTTCTTTTTTTAAAATTATTTATTTATTTATTTATTTTTTTGGAGAGGTTTTTGCTATAGGGCGCATGCGCTCACCAGAAAGTCAGAAAGAGACATACAGAAAGTGAGAAATCACCCCCTGGGGGGATGGCCATGCCGCAATCCCGTCTCCATTCTCCTCTCGGGATTTTGGGTATGCACGCACACGCACCCAGCGTGAGTTTAAGCCACCTGGGTCCGGGACTCAAACCGCGGTCGACTACGTGGGAGTCCAGCGACATAGCTATTACACCAACTGCTGGTCCCATCCCTGGCAGCTTATCCTGTGGTTGGAAGTGGCACAGAGGCCAGCCAAGCGCGAGGCAACCCTCCTCTTCTGACCAACCCTTGGGCCGGGTCCCTGCAG